GGATGGTGCTGGCCTGGGTGAGGGGCTGAGGGCCGTTTGCAGGCCCCTCGGCGGCTGGCCCAAGCGATCCAAGCTTCCCACTTGCTCCAGCCTGCTCTGTGGCCGCCGCCCATAGGCCCCTACTTCAGCAGCCGGCCCAGGCGGGGGGGATGCTTGGCTTCCTACATCGCCGGGGGTGACCCAAGCCTCCCACCCACCCTGGCTGGCTCTGTGGCCGCCACCATCTTTGTCCCACTAATTTGCATATTCCTTCCTGATTGGCTGTGTGGCATTATGGAGGTATGGTCAGTTTATATATTTGTCTATTATTCGTGTAGACTAGAGGTCCAGTGCACAGAAATTTGTGTGCTCGGCGGGGGTCCCTAAGCCCGGCCTGTGCCCTCTCACAGTCTGGGACCCCTCGGGGGATGACCACTTGCTGGCTTAGGCCTGCTCCCCAGGGGATTGGGCCTAAGCTGGCAGTCAGACATTACTCTGGCAGCCCGGCAGCCCTCGGGGGAGGTCCACTTGCCAGCGGGGAGCAGACCTAAGCTGCAGTCAGACATCCTTAGCACTGCTGAGGAGGCAGAAGAGGCTCCCACCACCACCGCTGTACTGGCAGCCATCAGCCTGGCTTGTGACTGAGCAGAGCTCCCCCTATGGGAGCACACTGACCACCAGGGGGCAGCTCCTGCATTGAGCGTCTGCCCCCTGGTGGTCAGTGTGTGTGATAGTGACCAGTCATTCCCTGTCTTTCTTCTGTTAGGGTCAGTTTGCATATTGCCCTTTTACTATATAGGATAGAGGCCTGGAGCACGGGTGGGGGCCGGCTGGTTTGCCCTGAAGGGTGTCCCAGATCAGGGTGGGGGTCCCGCTGGGGTGCCTGGCCAGCCTGGGTGAGGGGCTGATGGCTGTTTTCAGGCTGCCCGCACCCCCTTCAGAATGGGGGTCCCCACTGGGGTGCCTGGCCAGCCTGGGTGAGGGGCTGAGGGCTGTTTTCAGGCTGGGACTGAAGCTCCCAACTGCTCCTTTTTTTCTTTTTTTTTTTTTATTCTGGGCCAGCTTTAGCTCTGAGGCTTGTCTCCAGCTCTGAGGCCTCAGTTGCTGAAAACAGGTATCTGGTTTGTTTCGGTTCTATAATCAAAACTCTGTATCAACTCCAGCTCTGAGATTCCAGCTCTCTGAAAGCTGGTTTCTGGGGTTTTGTTTAGCTTCTATATTTGTTACAATGTTTCTTAAACTGCAAGCTCAGAGGCCGGCAAGGCAGGCAGGGAACGTTGCAGTCCTCCGTCACTGAAGCAAGCAAGCCTCATGTTCAGTTTAAGCTGCCTGGCTGCCGGCCGCTATCTTGGCTGGCAGTTAATTTGCATATCGCACTGATTAGCCAATGGGAAGGGTAGCGGTCGTATGCCAATTACCATGTTTCTCTTTTATTAGATAGGACTAGAGCCCCGGTGCACAAAAATTTGTGCACTCAGGGGGGAGGGGGGTCCCTCAGCCCGGCCTGTGCCCTCTCGCAGTCTGGGACCCCTCGGGAGATAACGACCTGCTTGCTTAGGCCTGCTCCCGGGTGGCAGAGGGCAAGCCCAATCCCTAGGTGCAGCCCCTGGTCGGGCTCAGAGCAGGGCCGATTGGGGAGTTGGGGTGCCTTCCCCTGTCATGCACAGAGCAGGGCAGATTGGGAGATTGTGATGCCACCCTCAGTCACGCTCAGGGTAGGGCCGATTGTGGGGTTGGGGCACTGCCCCGTCACACTCAAGGCAGGGTCGATGGGGAGGTTGCGGCGCCACCCCCTGTCATGCACAGGGCAGGGCCAATCGGGGGTTGGGGCGCTGCCCCCTGTCACGCACAGAGCAGGGCCCATCAGGGGGTTGAGGAGCTCCCCCCTGTCCCTCACAGAGTAGGGCCGATAGGGGAATTGGGGAGCCACCACAGTCACACTCAGGGCTGGGCCGATGGGGAGGTTATGGCTCTACCCCATCGCACACAGAGCAGGGCCCGTGGGGGCGGGGGGGTGGTTGGGGCGCCGCCACTCTCACACTCAGGGCAGGGCCGATGGGGAGGTTATGGCTCTACCCCGTCACACACAGAGCAGGGCCCATGGGTTGGGGGGTTGGGGTGCCGCACTCTGTCACACACAGAGCCGCAGGGCGATCAGGGGGTTGGGGAGCTCCCCCCATCAGGCACAGAGCAGGGCCGATCAGGGGGTTAGGGCGCCTTCCCCTGTCAGGAACAGAGCAGGGTGGATAGGGAGGTTGTGGCCCCACCCCCTGTCACACACAGAGCCGCAGGGCGATCAGGGGGTTTGGGCGCTGCCCCCTGTCACACTGATCCCGGTGCCGGGAGGCCTCGCGGCTCCACTGATCCCGGTGCTGGGAGGCATATTACCCTTTTACTATATAGAATAGAGGCCTGGTGCATGGGCGGGGGCTGGCTGTTTTGCCCTGAAGGGTGTCCTGGATCAGGGTGGGGGTCCCCACTGGGGTGCCTGGCCAGCCTGGATGAGGGGATGATGGCTGTTTGCAGCTGGTCACACACCTTTCAGGGTGGGAGTCCCCACTGGGGTGCCTGGCCAGTCTGGGTGAGGGGCTGAGGGCTGTTTTCAGGCTGGGACTGAAGCTCCCAACTGCTGCTTTTTTTCTTTTTTCTTTTTTATTCTGGGCTAGCTTTAGCCTGGCTCTGAGGCCTCAGCTCCTGAAAGCAGATATCTGGTTTGTTTAGGTTCTATAATCGAAACTCTGTATCAACTCCAGCTCTGAGATCCCAGCTCTCTGAAAGCTGGTTTCTGGGGTTTTGTTTATCTTCTATATTTGTTACAATGTTTCAAACTGCAGGCTCAGAGGCCGGCAAGGCAGGAGGGGAACGTTGGTTTCCTCCGTCACTGAAGCAACAAGCCTCATGTTCACTTCCAGCTGCCTGGCTGCCAGCCGACATCTTGGCTGGCAGTTAATTTGCATATCACCCTGATTAGCCAATGGGAAGGATAGCGGTCGTACCCTAATCACCATGTTTCTCTTTTATTAGATAGGAAGATGTTTTCAATTTTCTTGGGCATATACCTGGAATGGAATTGAATCATATGGTAACTCTGTTTAAATATTTGCTGGTCTGCTAAACTTTTTTATAATAGCTGCACCATTTTACATTGCCACCAGCAGTGTATGAGAATTCCGATTTCTCCACATCCTCACTAATACTTTTCTTTTTAGTTTTCTTTTTTTGTATTATCACTTTAGTAGTGGGTTAAAGTGCTATCTCATTGTGATTTTCATTTGCATTTCTCTAATTACTAATGATGATGAGCATGCTTTTCGTGTGCTTATTGGCCATTTGGTATCTTTGTAGAACTGCCTATTCAAGTTTTTGTCCCTTTTATAATTAGGTTGTCTTTTGAGTTAATTTATAACCTAGATAATAGATCCTTATCAGGTATGCATTTGCAAATATTTTCTTCCATTCTGTGGGTTGTCTTTTCACTTTGTTGATAATGTCCTTTAAAGCACAAAAGTTTTAACATGAAGTTTAATTTGTTCTTTAGTTGCTTATGCTTTTGGTATTAGATCTGAGAAACCATTGCTTAATTTATTGTCATGAAAATTTACACCTGTGCTCCATTTAGGCCTGGTCCATTTTTAATTAAATGTTGTTTGTTGTATGAGGTAGAGGACCAATTTTTTTTTTTTTTTTAATTTTTTTGGCATCCAGTTGTCCCAGGACCATTTGTTGGTCTATATGTCTATCCTTATGCCAGTATCACACCATTTGATTATTGTAGCTTTGTGCTGTCTGAAATTGGGAAGAGTGAATCCTCCAGCTTTGTTCTTTTTAAAGATTGTTTTAGCTATTTTGAGTCCCTTGCATTTCCATATGAATTTTATCAACTTGTTCATATGGGAAAAAAGGGAATTTTGAGGAATTGCGTTGACTCTAGAAGATTCGTTTAGGGAGTAATGCCATATTAACAATTTGTTCTCAATTCTATAAACACAGGATGTCTTTCTATTTATTTAGATCTTCTTCAATAAAGTTTTTGGTTATCTTCATGTGAATCTTGCACATTATTGTTTGTTGTATTTCTAAGAGTTTGCAGTTTTTCTTTGATATTTTGAGGGATCTTTAATTGGCTAATGTTACATAGAAAAGTTGTTAATTTTTGTCAGGGATAGATAAATAGACCAAATGAATAGACTAGAAAGTCTGAAAACAGACCCACACATACAGGTTATGTTACTTAGGACAAAGGTATTACAGTAGTTCAGTAAGGAGAAAAGATGGTCTTTTCAATAAATTGCACCAAAACAATTGGATATCCATAAGGAATAAAGTGAGCCTTGGCCTCTACCTTATACTATATACAAAAAATAATTGGAGATGACTTATAAATCTACATTTCAAAGCAAGAACAGTAGAGCTTCTCTAAATAATAGAATACCTTTATAACCTTGGAGTGGTCAAGGATTTATTGTAAAGACCACAAAAAATTACCATTAAAAAATTAATGAATTGGACTTTGTTTAATTTAAGAACTTATGTTTATCAAAAGGTCTTATTAAGAAATCGAAAGGACAACCAATAAACAGAAATATTCTTGAAACATTTCTGACAAAGGATTTGTATGTAGAATATGTAAAGAACTCTATGAACCAATAGAAAAAATGAGCAAAAGACGAACAGGAATTTCAAAAAGAAGATATCTGAATGGGCAGTAATAAGTACATTAGTCATCAGTAAAATAAGTATTAAAAGCCACAACAACATACATTGCAGACCTACTAAAATAAAAAGACTGATAATATGAAATGTTGGGGACTATGTAGAGCAACTGAAACTCTCATACTTTGCTGGTGGAAGTGTAAATACTTTAGGAAAATATTTAATGCTTTCTACTAAAGCCAAATCTACATCTACCTTATAACATAGCATTTCCACTCCCCTAATATATCCCAAAGAAATAAAGGCAGATGCCTATACCCACCAAAGATAGGTACCTATTATCATTTTCATTGTATCTCTATTTATAGGAGCCCCAAATTGGAAGCAACCCAAACGTCGAACATTAGGATGGATAGATAAGTTTTGGTATTTTTATGGAGTACTAAGCAGCATTACAAACAAACACATTTATGCTACATAAAACATGGATGAATCTCACAGACAGGACTGAGTGAAAGAATTCAGACACAAACGAATACAATGCCACGTAGATGGAGTTTCAAGAGCAGATGAAACCAGTCATCATGATAGCTGACAGTATAGTGGTTATCCCAGGATATTGACAGGGAAAAGGAACAAAGTTTCTGCAGTGCTGGAAATGTTCTATATTTGGTCTGGATGGTAAGTACATGAGGGTGTGTCATAAGGTTAATTGGGCTGTATACATGATAGGCATTTGAACTTCACTGTGTATACTTTAATTTTAAAAGTAAAATGCATAAATACAGGAAGAGATTGAGTAAAATAGGCACCATAGCTTAGTCATCATTTTTCAATTCAAAACATCACCTCTACTGGAGATAAATGAAGGGTTTTGACAAAGAGGACCAAGATATCTTTAGTTTTTTAACAGAACTTCAAAGATCACAGATAAGAGTCATAGGAGAGAAAACCTGCCAGGGGTTGTCTATATCTTTCTCCACAAAGTTTTTAAGTCCCTTGCCTAAGCAGTATATGTGTAACAATCACTATCCTCCCAGTGGGAAGGAATATGGTGCGCTTGAGATGGTAGAAACTCTATTAGCCACTGTTCTGGAGCATGACTTCATGGCCATTGAATTTCCTTGCTTTACTTGTTTTGTAAGGGTCACCGAGCAATTGAGCATGTACATATCAGTGAAATTCAAATATATTAACATTGTAGTTATTATAATTTCCTAAAGTTTAGTACGCTGTACTTTCGAGGTTTTCCTAATTTTAGGGAATGCAGGATCACAAACTAGTAAAAGAGAACAAGTAACTCCTAAAATTCTGTTCCATGATTAACTTTATTTTGTTAGTATGAATTTAAATGTTCTCAGATCACTAATGGTTTTTGTTTGTTTTTACAATGAATGATAATATGATAGTTCAATTTCATTATTAGGTTTCTGTTCACTAATCAATACATGTTTGAGGAATTTCTTTAAGGAGCAAAGCATTTAGTATACCTTTTTTGCCATATAGTAGGTAGTACCCTTAGGTAAATTAACCCTTAATGGCAGGAGAAGCACATTAAACTGGACCCTAAGTGGTGAGTAAGGTTGAGTGGAGAGGGTAAATATTAACTCCTGTAAGCCAGAACAGGGAACCATCAGAAAGCATCAGGGTTTTCTGTGGTCTTAGGTGAAAGCCAGAGGTTGTTCTTTGAAGAATGTATCTTCTTGATTCTCTGCCACAAATTTTGTGGGACTCTGGAATCATTATAGTGAAGTGCACTTCAAGTGTGAATTTAGAGCTGAGTACCTCCCTGGCTTTGACCTATCCTTAGGAAATGAGGAGAGGACATGAATATGACAGCACTGTCAGGCCAGGGCCCTTCTTACTAATGCCTTTTAGCTCTTAGTACTGCCAGTGCACTTCCCTAGGTGAGAAGATTCTGTTCTGCCTCTGATACCAGTTGGACACTACCTTTTCTTTATAGTATGCCTGATCCTTATTAGGATAAGCAATGAGTATAATGCAGTACAATTAGTGGTGGGAATGTTAAGAAAGAAAATGTAGTAAAATTTCTGCGAGATAAAGGAAACAAATGTCAGGGAAAATCTGTGCACATAGAATAGTTGGCAGTCATCTATATAATAAAAGCCTAAGCGACCGTTATGGCAGAACGACTGGTCAGTATGATACACACTGACCACCAGGGGGCGGGCGCTCAACACAGGAGCTACCACGTGGTGGTCATTGTGCTCCCACAGAGGAGTGCCCCTCAGCCTGAAGCCGGGTTCATGACTGGCGAGTGCAGTGGCAGTAGTGGGATCCTCTCCTGCCTCTGCGGCAGCACTAAGGAGCAGTGAGCAAAGTGGTAAGGAGCTTGCCGGTAAGGAGCAAGGGATCCCGGATTGCTAGAGGGTGTCCCAGACTGCAAGAGGGCGCAGGCCGGGCTGAGGGGACCCCCCCCCCCCCCCACTCCTCATGCACTAGACCTCAGGTAGTAATCATAAAACAAGAGATATGTCTTTGCTGATACCGAGGAACTCACTGTAAACTACTTCAATTAAGTAACTTATTAGGTTGAAAACTGAAGTGTCTATAAAAGACATAATCTGATTTATGACTCGCGCATAGACAAATGCTGGTTTTAGTGCTCAAAGAAATTGTTCTTTCACAATCTCAAAATGGGACAAATGAAATAATATGTATTTTAAATTCTGAGTAAGAGCAAGAGAGCAGGGAAACACAATGCTAATTAATGAAGGAAACATTTGTAGTGTAAGAAAAGTTATACCTTAGAATTAGGTTATGGTACACACAGTAACTATGAAGTTCAGTAAAGAAGTACATATAGGTATCAAACTGAGCATTTTGCTCTAAGTAATGAAATAGAAAGATTTGAGGACCAGGACAGATTGTAATAGAAACTAAGATCTATCACTAATCCTGCAGATGTCTAGAATTCTTTCTTAATTTGTGAAATAATGTGCAACACATTTCCAGTTTGTAAGCATTTTTGTAAAAACTGATGGTGTTTCTCATAAACCAAATTACATTTTCCTTTTTCACTTTTTCCCCCCTCAGGAAACTTACTGGACATTCTTTCCACATGGGCTATAGTATGGCAATTTTGAACGGCATTGTAGCTGCTCTTACTGTTGCATGGTGCCTCATGTAAACCTGCACTGAAACAGTATTCTTGGCAAAGCTTAGTCATGATTGCTTTGTAGTACCAGGGAAGAAGATCATTGCCTACTCAGAAGACCAAGAAACCTGCTGTTCGTTATGTGATTCCGATGTCTGCCATATCATCATTATGGAGGATCTTTTTAAGCATCGTTCTTCAACCTAGGCACTGGGTTATCTGAATATTAAGTTTCAAGTAGTTTCTTAAAATTGTAAGATGTTTACCTTATCTCTTTTGTGTGTGTTATTTTTCTAAGCTGTAGAGAGCATTTTAATAGAAATCAAACTGGAAAACTTGAATACAGCATATACCTTCCCATGTGTATACTACATTTTTCCTAAGGAATGCTAATAATACTGTTTGAGATAGATATATCTTAATTATTCATTATGTCAGGAAAGCAAACAATGCCCACTACTTTGACATTTTATAGAAGCTACTTTTAAATCTAAATATTTAGTTTTTTTATATTCATATCATCAATAGAAGGTGCATTTATATATTTTAATGGTGCATAGTTTCTTGTGTGTTTTTATTTACATATTTCCTACCACATTAAATTTGTATGTTTTAAAAATTGTTACATCTAGACAAAAAAAAATGTTACTCTTTAGCTGGCGCAAACCTAATACCTACCATTTTTAAATATGGTTGTGTTATTTTTTTTAATTGATTTTAGAGAGAGTGGAAGGCAGAGGGAGAGATAGAAACATCAATGAGACAGAAACATCAAAATTGAAGAGCTTGCTTCCTGCATGCCCCCTAATGCAGATTGAGCCAGCAAACCTGGGCATGTGCCCTGACCAGGAATCAAACCTGTGACCTCTTGGTACATGGGTCTCTACTCAACCACTGAGCCACACCAGGCATAAAGTATTTTGTCTTTAAGCAAAAAAAAAAAAAAAAAAAAGATATTGACCGTAGTTTAAAATTAAGTAAACTCATTTTTAACAAAAAGTCTGAAAAAAGGTAACTTACATAAGCCATTAAATAGTGAGAAATTTGAAGCTATTCACTTTGTTTCCACAATTTCAAATATTTATCCTGGTGTATATATGGTTACTTGAACAGAACTGATTTATTTTGTTTTTAATAAATATTAACCCTGCTAGCAAGCACTAACAACTAGCGGAACTTTAAATGATACATTTTATATCATTGTACCCAATAAAAACTTTAAAAAAATAATAAATATTAACCTAGCATTTTTATATTAGAAATTCTTGAACTAGTTGGTTTTTTATCTCAAAAAAATTTAGTCACCAAAATAGAAAAGGTATTTTGATACAGTGTATATATATGTATAATTTTCTATATATAGTTTTATAATTTTCCTATTTAAATGTTCTATAATTGTTTTTGTTTGTATAGTAATTAAGTCTTAATTGTTCCCACTTCCTTTCTAAATATCTGTTTAGAAAGTCATTTCAATTTTTAAAAGATGAACTATTTAAAATGCTGTTTTCCCTACCCATAGAAAAACTTATATTTAGGAAAGCATTGTAGAGTAAGTAAAACTGGTTATTCAGGCTAAATGTGAAATGAATGTGTGTGGTCTTGTTTCGGTTATCTGCTGAGTGTTGTTACTGAATAAATGATTTAATGTTGTTTCTAAAAGTCTTAACTTTTTACTACTCAAAAATCTTTAGTTGAAAAAGACAAATGATGCTCGAACCTAAATGATCTAAAGTGTTTAGATTAATTTGGGTGTATATGTGTATGTACATATAGACTACATATATGCATAAGTATATACAAATCCATGGCTTAAGGATTCGATTCCTTCCTGAGTGGATGTTGGAGTGGATCTATTCTCACTCCCTGTCTTTCTCTTCCTGCCCTTCCCAACCTTCATTCTAAAAGGCTCTTCTATTGCAAAGGAATATGCAAGTAACAAAATTAGTTTTTCTTCTCTCCACCTCTTCTGATCACTCACCCACTCCCAACTTGGGTAGCTTCTTCCAGATTCTTTGTCTTATGACTAAGAAAAATATTACAGTACACCTTCTCTATGTAGATACCTATACATAGATCTAGATACATGGAGATAATATTTTTTCTGGAACCCTATTTCTTCTGGATTAGCACTCTTCTTTCTTGAGAAATTATTCTCTTCTCTCTAGTTTAACTAGGGTCCAGATATAAGCCATCTATTTCCACAGCTGATTGGAAGGTAAGTAACTAACCAAAGGATATAGGTACCTAGCCAAAACTGGGCTAACCCTAGTTTCTCATCTCTCCTGGCCATAGTGATTGCAACAGGAATAGAAATGTGACTCAAATCAGGCCAGTCTTTTCCCAGGATTTTTCAACTTGAATTTAAGGTCTGATGAAGCTGGAAAGGTGATGTTGGCAGCCAGGGTTCAGCCACCCACAGTGGGAAGGAATAAGGCTAACATGTATGCTGCTAATGACTGTCCTGTACTCCCTGAAGCCCAGTGGTGACCCTGCCATTCTTTAAATTGGTAACATGAATCATTAAATTCCTCCTTTGGCCTCTGCTCTTAATACTGGGTTTTGTCATTTTCAGTAAAAGGAGTCAAGTGATTTTATCTGGCAGCGGAATCCATCTATTATGATACTCAGATCATCTTAATCTCTTTTTGTGTAGCTTACAACATTCCATTCAGTGACTTGTGAAGAATGCATTGGATATAAGTGTACCTGCGGCCACAAAAGGGTTTTGGGGTAAAACTAGTTATTAATCTACTTGCTGTTTCATCAGGAATTGATTATATTCCCAAGTTCAATTCTGCTTTAAGTGTTACCAGAATATTACTTATCAAGATAAGGTAGTGTGTTCCCTGCCTCGCCCTTATCCGTGGTTTTTCCTTCTGCAGTTTCTGCTGTTTCAGTTGCCCTCAATCAACCGCAGTCCCAAAATGATAATGGAAAATTCCAGAAATAAACATTCATAAAAGATTCATAAGTTTAAAATTACATGCCATTCTGAGCAGCATGATGAAATCTCATGCCATTTTACCTGGTCATGAATCATCCTTTTGTATGTTATTCACCCCTTAATCATTTAGTGGCCATCTCAGTTACCAGATCAACTGTCACAGCCTCTGTTCACGTAATCTTTATTTTAACTCAATAATGGCCCCTAAGTGCAGTATTATTGATGCTGGCAATTTGGATGTGCCAAGGAGAAACTATAAAGTGCTTTAAGTAAAAAGGTGAAAGATCTTGATAACAGAAAAAAATCTTACGCTGAGGTTGCTAAAGTTATGGCCACAGTATGTGATAAGTGCTTAGTTAAGATGGAAAGGCATTAAATTTGTGGGTGGAAGACATGAACAGAAAATGTGTTATAATTAAGAGCAACATGTTGCTCCAGAAAACAAGTTTATTCAGACTTCTGCGAGGGATCTCCTGAAACAAGTGACCACGTTCACGTAGCTCTGATTACAGTGTATTGTTGTAATTATACTATTTCATTAATTATTAATCTTTGACTGCGCCTAATTTATAAATTAAAGTTGGTCAAGGTATGTATAAAAATACATATATCTAGGGTTTGGTGCTATCTTGACTTCATGCATCCAGTGGGAGTCTTGGAATGAATTCCCTAAGGATAAGGGGAGACTACTATATAATGAGTCTTTAGATCAATGAGTTTTAAATACAGTACTATTACTTAATAATGCTTCTCAGTTTCCTTATCTGTAAAATGGGAAGACTACCCCTTCCTAACCTTTTTTATTGACACCAATCATTTTCCAAGCTCCTAACAATTCCGCCAACTGCTAATTCACTTCCCTGAATATGCATAACCCTTATTTTATACCATATTGTCACAATTGGGAGGCCAAGGATGCAGCTAAACTTGTACAGTGCCCAGGATAGCTCCCCAACAGAAAGAATAACAGCCAAAATGCTAATAGTGCCAAGGCTGAGAAGCCCTGATCTAGGACTAGATGAGTCAGCTAGCATCCTGTTCAGAATGGACAGCTGGGGTCACAAGGTTACCTGAAGCCCAGGTGTTCATTCTCTAAAAGGTCAAGTAGAAAGCTGTTTCTCAAAAGGAAAGAATTATTAGCTCAAGAGGACTTGTCTCTGTGCCAGTCCCCTATGGGCCTGTCTGGCAAGGGCCTGTTTGCATACTCAAGGGAGAAATGTGTCCGCGAAGTTCATATACAAAAATGCTGTTGTTGAATTGAAAGCTGAGGCCACATTTGACCATTTAAAGTCCATTAGAGCAATGGGTACACAGGCCAAATCGGTGTTAAAGTACTGACTGGAGTGATTGATAATCTACTGAGGGGAAATCACTGCTATACAGTGGGAGCCAGGAGTTTGGACAAAAACCCCAAAGCCCTGTGTTGCTTCCTTGTTAGACTCATTTTCAGTTGAATATTATAACCTACACAGACAGGGGGGGGGCTCAAATCCCTCAGGAATAAGATTTTGGTTACCTCACCAGATTTAAAAACCTGTACCTGTTAAGAGTTCTGGATGAAAGTCAAGGGGACATGGAATAGATATAGGAAAAAAGTCAAATACTAGCTCATGTCTCATGACTAGTTTCAAAAACAGCTATAGCCTCTACCCATATTTCTTTACTATGGCATCTGTGTATTTTAACTTATTCCTTTCTTTTTTTTCTGTTTCTGTCATTGCATATAGGATTTTTGACATTAGCTAACTACCATGTAGTATATAGATTGCAGGATATTGTGATGGGATTCCTGTGTAACTTGGGAGGAATCATTTCCCTGAAATCCTGGACATGGAACTGAATATAGTTACCTGTCAGACTGTTGGTTGTCTTCCTATGTGAGGAAGGGTCTGCATTCTCAACTGAACGAGAAATGGTTGTGCTACGTTAAATGGGGTGATTTTTGAAGTGTAATCATGGGAAATAGTGGGTAGGTGTATGCAGGACAAGCAAAGGAGCGGACTCTAGTAGGTATGTTACCAGTTATCGTCTTAATATATTTTTATTGATTTCAGAGAGGAAGGGAGAGAGAGAAAGAAACATCATTGATGAGAGAGAATCATTAATCAGCTGCCTCCTGCACTCCCCACATTGGGGATTGAGCCCACAACCCAGGTATGTACCCCGACCAGGAATCGAACTGTGAGCTCTTGGTTCATAGGTCAACACTCAACCACTAAGCCACCAGGCAGTATGTTACCAGTTTTTGACTGCTCAACCCCGAAGTCTATCCTTTCTTTGGGAGACTTGTTATATGTTTCTGGGAAGCAAGGCTCTACATAGTAAT